GCAGGCCTAAGCCAGCAGGTCGTTATCTCCCGAGGGGTCCCAGACTGCGAGAGGGCACAGGCCGGGCTGGGGGACCCCCTTCCCCCCGAGTGCACAAATTTTTGTGCACCGGGCCTCTAGTAAAGAAATAAAGAGGAAGAGAGGAAAAAAGAAACAATGCACTTTGTGGCTGTTGAATGGTAAACAGAAATATGATTCACAGCAATAGTTAAATACCTTGAGAAACCTGCATGCGATTCACTGGCAGGGGCATGGGCCCATCTATAATGGCAGGAAAAAAAAAAGTTATTTAAAATAATCCTTGATTGAGGAATAAGGAATTTATCTTGAGTACTTCAAACTTAAAGAAAAAACCAGTCAACAGGTCCCAAAGCACTGGACATTCGATGCTTGCAAACCTTTAAAGGACCTCTCCCACGAGAAAGATAGATATTCTAAGTCAGGGGTCCTGAAACTTTTTAAACAGGGGGCCAGTTCACTGTTCCTCAGACCGTTGGAGGGCCGGACTATAGTTTAAAAAAAAACTATGAACAAATTCCTATGCACACTGCACATATCTTATTTTGAAGTAAAAAAACAAAACGGGAACAAATACAATATTTGTATTTGCATGTGGCTCGCGGGCCGTAGTTTGAGGACCCCTGGTCTAAACATAGGCCAATGTACAAGGTCATGACCACTATCAGTCTCCAAAATGTGGGCTTCCTGAGAACATAATTCTATATACTTAGAAACACACCCCAAATACAGAAGGAAAAACAAGCAAACAGATTAAGGGCTGATAGAAGGAAATGAAGTCCTTACTTGGAGGTCTCACAGGTTGTGACTGTGGTATCCCAGGGGGCTGCGCCCCGGGGGCTGGTAAGGCTGGCTGGTTACCCAAGATGCCTTGTTTGTGTAAACGCGACCTCCGTTTTTCTTCTAGTTCTTTTTGTATCTTATAGATTTTCTCTGCTAATAAGTGATAGTATTCATCCTGAAGAGCAATAACATTAGGCAGTCAAAACTATAAAAAAATGATCTGGTCTGTATGTTCTAAAAAATTAATGAACTTTTTTATTAAGTACACTAACAAAATAAGTGTTCAACACTTCTAACTAATAAACCAAAGGCCAAAATTCTTGTTGAACTAGTTACATTACAAGATTTAATAGACAGTAGGTACTAAATGCGTGTTACATTTCTTTCCACAGTTGAACCTCTTCTTGGATATTCACTGGTGCTGGCAATAACATAGTATAAGCATAACAAACAACGCCCACATGGACGTGGACATGGCATCCATGGATAAAATGCAATTTTGTATACCTCATTTACCTGTAGTGGTGGATACTATAGTAAACAAAGAGAGTTGTGCAGGGACCTAATTTTTTTTTTTCTTTTTCTTTTTTCAGAGAGGAAGGGAGAGGGAGAGAGAGAAAGAAACACCAATGATGAGAGAATCACTGATCAGCCCTCCTACAGGAGGCCCCACACTGGGGATCGAGCCTGCAACCCAGGTATGTGCCCTAACAGGGACCTTCTGGTTCATAGCTCGATGCTCAATCACTGAGCCACACCAGGCAGATGGGACCTAATTTCTTATCTGCTAAGTCTCTCTGGTCAGGCTCCTCAAGGTGATGGGCTTACCCAACTAACATATCCCCATTTCCAGACAAGCCAGCCAGCCAGGTGCAGTTATATCTACCACAGGTATGTGCAGGCTGGAATAAGTAAGGCAACCTACCCGGCTGTTGGCAGACTCATACACGTCCCCTTCTACTTTCTTAGCGTAGGCCACTAGGTTCTCCATGCGGTGATCCTTCAGGGCTGCAGGGCCAGGTGTTGGGAAGATGGCTTGGACGCTAGGAAGACAACATATTCTATCAACCCACTTTCAATACATCAGTATCTTGCCACTTTATGTGTGACATGGAAAGAGAAGCTTATCTACCTACAGGGGTGATACACTGTTGAGAGAAATCCCAAATCTCTCTTGCCTAGAATATGAGTACACAAATGAAGTCATTCTCTAGAGACAATACTAACCTGTTGATTTATCTACAAGTCGAAAACAATATTTTGCTATTAGCAATAAATGCTAGGTCATCTCAAGAATAATACAATTTTTTAAAAAGTATTTTTTATTGATTTTAGAGAGGAAGGAAGAGGAAGAGAGAGATAGAAAAATCAATGATGATAGAGAATCATTGATGGGCTGCCCCCTACATACCCCACACTGGAGACCAAGCCCACAACCCAGGCATATACCCTGACTGAGAATTGAACAGCAACCTCCTGGTTCATGGGTTGACGCTCAACCACTGAGCTACACCAGCTGGGCAAGAATAATATGATTTTGAATTCCTACTTTTAAATTATTACAAATTTTTTATTAAAATAATGAAGAAAACTCCAAGAGAATCATTGGTTAACTTCACCTTCAATTTAATTTAACTAGCTTGCGAAAGTTAACTATTAACTCTGCACGTTCACTGACTATATATATGATAGTACTGTCATGCAATCTGTATTCACTAGGCCCAAATTCCCCCAATTCTCAGGGCTCTCCAGAAACATAATATTGAGCCATAAATTAGCTTCTGAGCTAATCCCAGCCCCCTCATGTATCCCAGAGCTCAGAGTACATATCTAGCTGCACTGGGAGTGTTGGCCTCTGTGACATGGCTTACAGTTCATGCTCCTCTACAGGGTAGAGCTATGAATGCTCTGATGCCCCTCACTGGGGATGCAGGGTCTGGGATTCTCTGGCCTGCCAGCAGTGTCTGTGATTCCCTAAAAAGGATGTGAGTCCCTTTAGCTGCTAGGGTACTATCACCTGGAACCACTTAGGAATTCAATCAGATCCTGATAATAAAGTGCAAAACTGTCACAATGCTATCAGCCACAAAATGTTTCTGTCACATGTGAATAATGGGTGAGGTGGGAACATACAGTTTATGCACTAGATGGCTCCGCAGGTCCTGGGTGACATGTTCATGCCAGCCTTTCCGAACGCCAGTGCTGGAAGTAGGTGCTGCTGTTGGTATAGTGCTGAGGGTTCCAATGTTTCCAGAATTTGAGCCATCATTCATCAGTGGGCTATGGGAAGAACAAGAACTTCAGCCATCTATTAAAGTGACTCAAATGTGCTTCATTTAAGTAAGGCCTTCAACCATATGAGACTTAAAAAGTTTAAGTTAGGAGAGCCAAGTGGTGAATGTACAACAAAATAGAAACCATGTTTTATCTATTATCTGCTCTACATTTATAATTAAAAGAAAAATAGCATGCCTCCACCCAAACTATTTTCTCTGCCTCACATTTAGAAAGAATTATGGCGTTTTGTGTGAGTCCCAGCCCACGTTCATGTGTGACTATCACACAGGAGCCAATTGAAACATGGGTCTTACTTTGTGGCCCCAAGGGAAGTTGGAAGAGCTGATTCTGAAATCAAGTTTGGTGGCTGCTGATCTGTTGTTATTCCTCCTGCTGGAATGTTCATTGGGTTATTTCCTTTAAAAACAGAAAAGAAATCAAATCCTAAATTATAATATACACTGAAGAGTTCAAGTCACTATATGAATAAGCAATTCTTAATGAGTATAATAACAAACACTATGGCAGGAACTCTGCAAGTTATATTTTCAATAATGGTGATTGACTTGTAATACAAGTTCAGTTGCAGACTCCTTCCCACTGTATCATATAATTAAAATAAGACAGTTTTATGGAGGCTGGATGGTATCATAAGTAACTATAAGGTGGTGGAAAAAACCAGAAATGATCCATTTTAGTTTTAGATTTTGATCCTGGCTTTATTAATATCATGCCCTAGACAATTAAACTGACTTGTCACATATATGTGTCATCTATTTCTTTTTTAGTGTCATCTATTTCTTTTGTATATCAGAAACTAAAACCATAGATACTAAGTGTAGGTGAAAAGCATAAAAGGTCAATTTGTCTACAGTATTCATCTTATAGGATAAAAGAAGTTAACAGTCTTATCCCAAATTAAACCATCAATAGGAATGGAATTAGAATTCAGGTCTTAGGACTCCAAACTAGTTTCCTGGTTAGTAGAAGTTAGATATGCATTAGGGCAGTTGCTTTCCAAAAAGCAACAAATGAGATGTTTTCAAAGAGCCATTTTTAAAATAAAATACCGAGAGAAAAAAAAAGAAAAAAAAGAAAAAAAACTAGCACAATGACCTTGATTTAACTTGACTGACATAACTGCTTGGCTTAAGCCTAATTTTAAAAGGACTATGTCGATTTAGTCCTGGCTGGTTTGGCTCAGTGGATAGAGAGTCGGCCTGTGAACTGAAGGCTCCCAGGTTCGATTCCAGTCAAGGGCACATGCCCAGGTTGCGGGCTCGATCCACATAGGGGGGTGTGCAGGAGGCAGCCAGTCAATGATTCTCTTTCATCTTTGATGTTTTTTTTCTCTCTCTCCCTTCCTCTCTGAAATCAATAAAAATATATTTAAAAATATATATGTATTTTTAAAAAAGGACTACGTCGACTTGAAAAATATTAAGTAAACAATATGCAGAGGTGGCAAAAATTTTGGAGCTGTGTAACAAAAGACCAAACACTGGCAAATAATGGGATAAGATTACACTAGGCAATACTAATACATTGGTACACAGAGAAGGCTGAGACAGGAGAGATTTTCTGAGACTCCTGTTAACCGGTCCATGGCCTGGCTGGTCACTTCCAGCAGTGGGATAACCCATAACCAAGACATGCTGGAAATGGCAGACCATCTATAAGTTATCCATTAAATAAATGATCTACTGAGAGTCAATGCAAGTAGTACAACCATAATCCTAACTTGAGACTTTGCATTCTGAGCCATATCAAGTGCCCTTTATTAAAACTGTCCAGACAGAAGTGGCACAAGCAACAAAAATGTTGGGCAAATGCTACTGTTTTAACAAGCCTGTAACATATTCCGTGAATTGGAAATGTTTGCCTTTTCCTGGAAGTTTTTTTTTTCTTTCAATTTACAAGATACCATCACCATAATATATACATTTACTAATTTGAAATTAAACTGAAAATAGCCTCTGGTTCCAAGAAGACTTGTCATTTCCATGCTGTATTAGGACAAAGAAGTTTTCAAGAGTTCCTTCACTCACCCAAGGGGTTGAGAGTCCTCATCTGCTGGTGAGTTTGAGGCTGTGCTGGTTGCTGGCCAGAAACCTGCAGCTGCGTCTGGGGCTGGTTCAGGTAGGGAAGTCCAAGAGCAGCATATGCTCGCTGCATGGAGCTGGGGTCTATAGGATTTGGGTTACTTAAAGAAGTAGCATTCTGCTGGCCTGTACCAACAGAACCAATTGTGTTCTGAATTCCACTAGCTGGAGATCCCAGGATGGCTAGAACAACAAACAAACAAACAAAAAAGGTGAGCAATAGGTAGAAGCCCATAAATTATTTTTAAATTACTGAGAAACAAGTAAAAATTTATCAGAAAACTATCTATATGTCATGAAGTATTAGAACAAGGCTACCAAGGAAGGAGGTGTGCAGAGAGAAGAATCCTATCCTATTCATCTATTCTATATGCCAGTAGCTGAGGAGCAAAAAGCTAAAGAAAATCCAAGCTTCTCTTTTAGAAAGTAACAGACCGTAATATCAGAGATCACTTAATAAAAATTAATATGTATCAAAGTCTCAGAATAAGTCAGTTCTAGGGAAGTGGCAAACATGATAACAGAAAATGTTTTGATTCTTTTGGGGGGGTGGTCTCCAGCCATCACTGAGATGAACTAAGAGGCAACCCCCTCCTGCTGCTACTCTCGCTGGGTCCTTCACTGCCCACCCGTACAAGTCAGAAGGATTAACAAGGAGCAGAGGTGATGCTCAGTCAATCACTTATTAATAAATCTATGATGTGATCTTCTAAATAACAGTATCATAATGCCTCGAAACTTACGTGTACAATGACTGCATTAACACGACACCTTTCTTTCCTTATGAGTTTCCTATGCAAAAGGGAACCATGCTGAGCTCTCTGACTATGTAAAGCTAATCAAGAAAGAATGTACTTGACTGACTGATCTAGTTGAAACTAATAGATAGAAAAAGGCTCGGATTTTCTTTTAGCCAGGTGTCATCTCAGCTTCACTGATATTCAGGACCTGGGCTCTGCCTCCTGCAACCACCGTTAGCTTCTCTAAAGGAAAATCCATGACAACATAAAGAACCTCATTCCCAAGAGCTTCAAAGTTAACTAACAGATGACTCCAAACTTGCAAATCCTTGATCATTTCAAATACAATTCATTAGTCCGTCCGTCCGTCCGTCCATTCACCCATCCATCCATCCAAATGTTCTTATTTGGTGAGCAGTTACCATATAATAAGTTTTATGACATACTATTTATTCTTAAGAGTTCCCTTCTGTCCAACTTCCCTAAACTTTAGAGTCATATTATAATTAGCTGATAAAATTGATACTATAACAAATGTTCTTTAATACATAAGATACTATACTAAGGCCTTTTTTCAAAATCAGACCATTATGTGTTTATATTCTCACATTTAACCATCAGTGCAACTATAACATAAACAACACAAATACTTACCAGAGTAACTTAATTAAATGTGTGAAAAACTTGGTAATTACACATTCCATACTGTTAACTTTTCTAAATAAGGATATTCAGATCTCAAACTCATTAATGTTCATTAGTTACAATTATACACACCAAGCATCTCATTACAATAAATGAAGATTCCCAAGATGCACTTTATGACAAGTGTGTATCTAAAATAAATCATATAGAATATCTTTATTTTTTTCTAACAGTATGTCCCAAAACTTTAATCATGTGCTCGTTGTACTCCTGAAACCAACATGCTAAATTTTCTAAAAGCACTATGATGTAAAAAGGAAAATAATAATGGTAGGATGATTTATTTTTCTATCACCTTGTGGTATAAGAAAGAAGAGACCCAGACTACATTTGTTACACATAATGATCAATTGTAAAAAGGAATTTTAAAAAACAATGTATGCAGCCTTTCATTTCTACGTGAAGATGCAATACAATAGTTATGCTTTAGTGACAAGTTCTCTTTATTATATTCCACTTTCATCCACACTTCCCCAAATACCAACCTTTTATTTTTTATTTTTTGGTTAATCCTCACCTGAGGATATTTTTCCCCATTTATTTGAGGGAGAGTGGAAAGGAGGCAGAGAAAGGGGGGAAAAAGGGAAGAGGGAACACTGATGAGAGACACACATAGATTGGTTGCCTCCCACACGTGCCTGACTGGGGCTGGGGATCGAAACTGCAACCCTTGACCGGGAATTGAACCCGAGACCCTTCTGTGCTCAGGCCAACGCTCTAACCACTTAGCACACAAGCCAGGGCCCAAAATGCCATCCTTTTCTTTTTTTAAAATAATTCTTTATTGTTGAAAGTATTACATATGTCCCCATTTTCTCCCATTGACCCTCTCTAGCCCGCCCTCACCCAAAGCCCTCTCCACCCCATTGTCTGTCCATGGGACATGCATATATGCATACAAGGCCCATGGTTGATATCCCCCCACCCACCCGTCCTCCTCTGCCTTCCCTCAAATTCCGCACTCTGTTCCATGCTTCCATGTTTCTGGATCCACTCTGCTCACCAGTTTATTTTGTTACTTAGATTCTACATGAGTGAGATCATGTGGTACTTTGTCTTTCCCTGACCGACTTACTTCACTTAGCATGATACTCTCCAGGTCCCTCCATGCTGTCTCAAAGGGTAAGAGATTCTTTTTTTACTGCTGCATAGTATTCCATGGTATAAATGTACCACAGCCTTTTTATTCACTCATCTACTGATGGGCACTTGGGCTGTTTCCAGATCTTAGCTATTGCAAATTGTGCTGCTATGAACATAGGGGTGCATACATTCTTTCTGATTGGTATTTTGGGTTTCTTAGGATATATTCCTAGAAATGGGATCACTGGGTCAAATGGCAGTTTCCTATTTAATGTTTTGAGGAAACTTCATACTGCTTTCCATAATGGCTGCACCAGTCTGCCAAATGCCATCCTTTTAGCCAAAATGTCCCCATCTTACGGCGAATTCCATTCCCAAGTCCAAGGTCTTTTTCAAGGCAGCCAGACAATCCCATGGAAGCTGTTAACATGGTCACTGTAGTTGTGTTTATGTTAAAAAGCATTTATTTCCTAAACATAAAACATTACTATTATTTTTAAAAAACATACCTATCAAGAGACAAGCATGCATTTGGAACTTGGCATTTGTACCAATCAGAGGCAAGGAAAACAAAGTACAAATAAAAGATGTCTGACATTTAAGCATGGCCCAATTTGAGTCCAAATGCTGGTAGTAGATGACATACTACTTCAGAGTAAGAAAACACAGACATTTACTATTGGGGTGATGGTTGGTTGAAAGGGGAGTTATCAGGTAAAAGCAATCATAAACTCTGTTTTGGGAGCTCAAGATGCTACCATCCCTCCATGAACATTTTCCTGATCTCTCTCTTGGGCAGCAGTCATTCTTCCCTGAATTCTCACATCACCTACTAGGGCTCTGCTTCTCTTTGGGCATTTACACTTCACATATTCACTTCCTTACTCTACCAATTAAGTTAGTACAGACTGCTTGCCAGGCACTGCTAGGCTTCAGGATACAGTGTGAGCACAAAGCCTGCACTCATGGAGCACAGAATGTTGGGAGAGACAATAGACTAATCACTTAACAAATGTAAAACTGCATCTCTCTATCAGGGAAGATCATGCTTATCTCACCTTCCTTGTACATTCCCTGAGGTGGGACCAATGTGTGACTCTCCTGACTTTGTATGTCGAGGTGCCTTGTAAAGTCCCCTGCAGAGTTCAAGTGAGCTGTAGCAGTCTAGCAGAATGACTGGCCTTCTTCAGACACCTCCCACCCCCAGCCAGGCAGCACTGAGTTCTTCAGGCTGAACAAAAATTAAAGGAGTGCTAAGAACAGCAATGCTTCATCTGGCATCCTATCTAATAAAGAGAGGATATGCTAATTGACCCTTACGCCATCGCAAAAGATGGCAGCACCCATCTTATTTCCAGCCAATAAGGAGGAAATATGCTAATTGACTGTCCCACCCTCAAAAGATGGCAGCACCAGCAGCCAATAAGGAGGAATATGCTAACTGACTGCCATGCCCTCAAAGATGGCGACGCCCACAGCCACAAGATGGTCGGCAGGGGAGGGAGGTTGGGGGTGACCAGGCCTGCAGGGGAAGGCAGTTAGGGGGGACCAGGCCAGCAGCGGAGGGCAGCTGGGGGCGACCAGGCCAGCAGGGGGGGGCAGTTGGGGGCAACTGGGCCAGGAGGGGAGGGAAGTTGGGGGCAATTAGGCCAGCAGGGGAGCAGTTAGGCGTCGATCAGGCTGGTAGCGGAATGGTTAGGGTGTGATCAGGCTGGCAGGCAGAAGCGGTTAGGGGCAATGAGGCAGGCAGGCAAGCAGTTGGAAGCCAGCAGTCTGGGATTGTGAGAGGGATCCCAGATTGGAGAGGGTGCAGGCTGGGCTGAGGGACATGCCCTCCACCCCCAGTGTACGAACTTCATGCACCAGGCCTCTAGTCACTGATAATGAGGCTGTCCACATTAATCAATTTTACACATTACTGACATTTATCTCCTTAAATGTCAAAACCTCTTATTCTTTTTAGCATCTTTACATCTTTTTTTCCCTTTCTTTGAGTTAATGCTATACAGTTGCATACACAATCAATTGCCATATCACACACTGTTGTATTTGTTGGCATTCCTGCTACTAGCACATCTTCAAACCACTCCCCGACACCGCCACTGCTCTATTACTCCCCTTCTGTCACAGCTTCATCAGGATCCCATGACCTAGGAAACAAAAGGCTATGTTTTGCAGTGGTCTGTTTCCAGGACTCACTGTCACTTTTCATGCAGATCCAAGGCAGTTCTTCCCTATTGAGCATAAAGATTGTTCTTCTGTAGGTTCCATGCATAGTATACTAACTTGCAAATTGAATTCACCAGGAACTTCAGTCCCCAATCATTCTCAATAAAACCAAACTCAATTGAAAATCCAACAAAAATTGACACATTAAATTCCAAAGCTTTGTCAGAGTGGTGGGACACATACCATTAAACAGGCAAAGCAACTACTTACTATCTAGTCACCACTAAGATTTCTACTGAAAAAGTTGTACTGGAAGTTACTCAGGCCTGTATACACATCTCTGCAGAGTTGCTCCCACACAATGCTTTGCAGGTACCATACGTGCTAGGCCTGCCTTCCTTTTCAGCATCTTCTTGTACACAGGACAGGATAAAAGGGAACATCCTAGCCCAGTTGCCAGGCCTCCCATCAATCCACCATTGAGCAAGAATGCACAAACCTTCCAACAGGTGTTTTTTTTTTTTAAGCCAAACGACTCAGGAGCGGGAAACACTATGTTACTCTTAAGAGCAAGGACAACATGGTTCTGATCAAACACATCACCAATGATTGACTGGTACTTAGCAGGTAAATCAGGGACAAACAAGCCCACCACTCTGTCCCTATAGACATTTAAGTTCTACTGCCTCCTCTGCTTCCCATGCCAACCACAGTCTGTCAAAAGAAGTGTCTGAGAATCTCTGAGACCTCTCAGGTGGAACAAGAGCCTGTTCAACAAACACTTACTGAGCACCTAAGAGGCTACTCTTCATGAGTAGAAGTTTTAAGGAGGTAGAGTTGGACACAGTATCATGAAGGAAGGTGTTTAAAACAATCAGAGTTGCCTAAAATTAGAACAGCCAGGCTAGGGAGAGAGCCAGTGGAGGTATTCAAGCAACAGACTAGAGGACTGCTGGTTGACATTCTGTCAATGGGCTTATGCTGCATGAGTAAATGGGTTCAGTTTGACTCTGGGGCTGACCCTATAGCATCCATTTGACAGTCCTTGTGGGTCTCTGAGTTGGTTTCCCCCAGAGAATGACTCAAATCTCAACAGTTCCAGGACAGATACACGGCCCCTTCGAGGAATTCAAAGAAGAGCATCTCAGCCACTCATGTGCATACCAATAACATGGCAATTTGTTAAAATGCCGATACTAATATAGAGAGCCTGGTATGAGGCTCTAATGTCTGCATTTCTTTTAAAAATCTTTTTTAAAAAATTGATTTTAGAGAGAGAGAGGAAGAGGGAGAGAGAGAAAAACAACAACGTGAGAGCCAGTTGCCCCCCACACGCACCAGGGATAGAACCTACAACCTGGGAGTCGAACCAGCAACCTTTCAGTGTGCTGGACGACGCTCAACCAACTAAACCACACCGGCTAGGGCCCAATGTCTATATTTCTAACAAGCCACCTGGGAGTGCCCATGTTCCTGGTCTGAGGACTACACTTGGAGTAGGAAAAAAACTTCACTGATTAGGCAAGATGAGTTCTAATAGGGAATTTGGTCATGTGTCCACACAGCTCCAGTCCTCCATGCCACCCTATGAACTAGAATTAATGAGAGTCAGATGCCAGGACTGATATTAGATATACTCCTTGGAAAGTCCTAATTATTCAATAAATTCTGATTATCTCTGTAGGGGATAGATAGCATGAGATCAGTGATTATAGAATCTCTAGAAAACTGAAAAATCAAAATCTCAACCACATAAGCCAAAAAGGTAACCAATGGTCTGAGATTCATTTCAAACAAACTCAGGTTAGCTCCACAGGTTTTTCTGGTAGGTTCATAGAGACATCAATGAGAGAAGTAAGATGGTAAAAATGTGTGCACCAGGTAAGGTAAGCATCTGTGGGAAACCCTGCCTAAAAAGCACACAGCCTTGGTGGCACAGGGCACATGCTCCACGTGCGGGCACAGCTGGATCTGAGATAGCCCCAGGGGTCCTCACCACCTCAGAACGAATAGTCCCTCTCTCCCTGAATTACCTTGTTTGCACAGGAACCTCTGAGTCCTGTCAGATCCTGCCCTTACAGACATGTCAACTCTGCTGACACTATCCATGCTGTTTAGAATATTTTATTGTTACTTTATTGAAATTGGGCTCCATTAAGCCTTACCCTCCAGCAAATTCCGGTCTTCTCTCCTCAAGGATTGCCAATACTAGTGACTTCTCTCTACCTTGTTCCTTTGAGTAATACCACTGTCACATCATTTTTAATGTAGATATTCTGACTCTGGAACTGACTTTAAGGTACTAGAACAGTGGTTCTCAACCTTGGTTGCACATTAGAATCACCTGGGAATCTTTTTAAAATCCTGATTTCTGGGCCTCATCCTCCGGAAATTTTCTTTGTTACTAATGTTGTGGCCCCACCCCATAACAAAGAAACAGAATTTCCGGAGGATGAGGCCCAGAAATCAGGATTTTAAAAAGATTCCCAGGTGATTCTAATGTGCAGCCAAGGTTGAGAACCACTGTACTAGAAGGATGAATCCGCATTTCTTCTCTACTGCCTAAACCAAGTGTTCATACGTTTAAGCACAATTTGCTTTAGAAGAATTGAAAAATACCAACAAACATTTACAGAAAAGATATCATTGAAACTTGCTCACTCATCATATCAAACTCGTCTATACTCACACAACTATTGTTAGAGCCAAAAGAATACACTCAAAGTTGAAACCTAATTTGAGAAGCATTTAATAATTTTTTAAATAGGAGCTTTAATTTCTTTCACGAAAAATTACTAAAACTTTGTACAAAAATAATCTAAATATTACCATGACTATAATAAAATCACCCTGGTAACACCTTACATTATGACTAGTAGAAACACTGTGGTTTACCACTTCAGAGGGCACGCACCAGATAAATTGTCACAACAGCCAGAGAGTTATAAGGATGTTTAAAAAAAACCCCACAAAAAACCACATACATTTCTTTTTTTTTTTTTAAACAAAAACCACATTCATGTTTCTTAAAAAGAGAAATCACAAAAGTTTACAATTGTCATGGTGATACATACTAAAAACAAAAGGTCCCAGAAAAGCCACACCCCAAATTAAAAGTTCAGAATGAAATTTTGTCTCATTACTAGAGGCCCAGTGCATGAAATTCATGCACTGGGGGGGGGGGCCCTCAGCCCGAATTGCAAGAGCGCAGGCCAGGCCAAGGGACCCCACTGGTGCACGATTGGGGCTGGGGAAGAACCGGAGATTGGCCAGCTGGGGAGGGGCCACAGGAGGGCTCTAGGGTGTGTCTGGCAAGTCTTGCTCAGTCCCAGTCGGCCGGACCCTAGCAGCAAGCTAACCTACCAGTTGGAGCGTCTGCCCCCTGGTGGTCAGTGCATGTCATAGCAACTGGTTGACCGGTCGACTGTCTGCCCCCGGTGGTCAGTGCAGGTCATGGCGAGCAGTTGAGTGGCCTTAGCATAACATTAGCATATTACATTTGATTGGTTGAATGGCTGACAGGAGGACCAGACACTTAGCATATTAGGCTTTTATTATATAGGATTCATAGAATTAATACTGTACAACTATAAACTCAAATGAATATTTTAGCACTTAAAAAAGCCTATTACTGAAATGCATCCTAAAACACAAGAAATTGTAACCATCAAAATATACTAGTTTAAAAAATGGTTTTATACTAACTTAGTGGAAAAACAGACTGTATTCTACTAGAACTATTGTCCCAAACATTTTGTTCTAGAATACCCAGATTCCTAGACTTTCAATTTATATGAAAGATGTCCTGGAAATTTTTATTAATTAAAATTTTGATCAATCAAAAATTAATTTAACTCATTTTGGGAAGTGACTTTGAAAGGAAACTTAGTATGACTCCTTCTCTAGGGAGGGAAGGAGAATAAAGGGCCTATGACCCCTGGATGTCTCTCCTATGTGACATGGACACTGCTGAGCAGAGTCAGCTCATAGACATCCTCTCAGGAGGGGGTGAGCTGGACTTAAAGGAAAAGCACCTGGGTTATCACTGGTGCTCCACTCCCTGACACTTAGGAACATGAGCTTTTCCACCTTTCCTTGTACCACTCGCAAACTAGAAAGAAAAGCAGCACATTCTCCAGGTAGCAGTGGGGTCTTGAGGAAGATGATCAAGAATGAGAGGAATGAACATGTAACCACAAACAAGGGAGGGTGGCAAGATGGCACAGACAAGATGGAGGACTAGAAAGACTGTGCTGTGCTCAAAGTCACAGGGAGAAGCTCCAGCCAAAGAGGTAACATGATATTGAAAAGCACGTCTTATCTGTCCAAACTGAGGGACACACCCAAGACCACTGTTTTACCTCTAAAATGACAGGAAAGGGCTTGAAACTGGGAAGAGATGCTCATCTTTTCACTGCTCTGATGGCTGTAGGGAACCCCTGGGAGTCCCACACAAGCCTCCTGAACTGGGATCACTGCTTAAACAGTCAATCAGCTAAAGGCTACACAGATGACTCCAAAGACAACAAAGCAATGGAAATGATCAGAATGCAGCCAGTCTGGGGCAGAGACTCTCAATCTGTGCTGAATAAATTGTAAGTTATGCTAATAGGACTGGGAGCTGCAGCTCCATGGGGGATGGAAACCTCTCAAATGTCTACATGTGGGATTCTATACTGACCTGGCCTGACTGACTTATCTATGACTTTGGGGTAAGAGGTTTCCAATTCCAAAAGAAGTGTCCTTCTATTTTCCCTGCTCCACCCCCAAAGTCACTGCAATTAGTGACGCGACATTCAAATCCTCAGATACTGAGTATCTTTCAAGAAATAGGAAGAGTAGGTCACTTTGGTGATAATCCTTTCCCATTCCTGCCAATTCTGGTACAGGGGGGTGGAGGTGGCAGAGAATTAAATTCCAAAACAACCACATCCACTGAGCACAATGAGACTCTGTCTACTCACTAAGCTTGCTTCATCCTTTGTCACTGTATGTCTCCACTCACTACTATACTTTGTGGTTAATAATTTCTGCCCTGCTTCCTACCTATGTTTCTGTATCCTCTTCAGAAATAGCTCATTTTCTCATCTCCAAGCTTCTCTACCCCCAGTGCTCACTTACTTTGTTGGTTTCGCTTGTCACTGGCATTTTTCAAAGGGAGGCAAACAGGACAGTCATGTCGTGTGCAGTTCTTCCAATGAGAGATGATTTGTCGTGAAGATGCACAATGGGCAACTATGACCAGAAAAACAACGAGATGTTATTTTTCTATCCAAATCGTCACACTTTCAAATACACCTAAATTATAATGCCAGGTTCCATAAGAAAATGGTAATAAGGTAACCATAACACAGTACAGGCAGTCCTCAACTTACAAACAGGCAATTTTCCAAGAAGTTTGTAAGGTGACTGTTGAGAATTGCAAACAAAAACTTCCCATTGAAGCAATGTTATGAATGATGGTGATTAAGGTTCAGCCCACAAAACAAAAGCTATTTGACCTGAAGTACTAAACAACTGGAATGAAAGGTAGAATAAATAATTCTGTAAGGTCACTATTTAAAATAAAAATGTTATAGTATGTTTAAGGATGAAGCCATCTAAATACTCTTGTTGAAGAAATACAAATAGAGAAATGAGAAGTCTGCGGAGATTCTGAAGGGCCCCCCCCCCCAGGCACTTTTCAAAGTACTTGAAAGGGTAATTAAACCTGGTTATTCTCAGTCTTTACCTTCACTTCCATATTAAAGCACTGATTTCTTTCTAAAGGTCTGGCATAACCCTCCTTCGGCTTCTCCATCAGTTTAAGGGTTATGCTGGGGAACTCACAAATGTCATAAAGGGAGAGAGGGAGATCGGGTAGACCATCTCCCCAAGGTTTAGGAGCACAAGAGAGAAAAGGAAAGAGGATAAAGATTAGAGGAAAGTATAGCAGTTAGTAAGAAACACTTTCTTTGGTAGAATCAAGGGGTCTGCCATAGAAGAGGGGGAAGGGAGGCACATGGTGTAGTGACAGGGAGGGAGGAGGTGGCAGAGATGATATGGTGCACACAGTTCCCCAGGTCACGGATAGTCACCCAGGACAACTTCCTTGGTATCCTGATTAGCCTCAAGACGAAAGTATGGAGGAACAAGGCAGTGGCTTGACACACGACATAGTTGCAAGAGACATTACTGAGAAAAGGGTTTGTACATGCATGTGTGTGTGCTACACTGCCCAAAAGAAAACAGTGCCCTAGACTTTTATAATGAAGACTATGTTTAAGAAGTGACAAATATTTTCTGTGACAGAGGAAGGAGGTAAAGAACAAATGCAGGGCACAGCCTCATCCAGTAGAAGGTCACAGAATACTATTATTAAACCAAATCACCTTTCTCCTCAGCAATTAAGTGTTCCAGTGGCATCTGACTGGATGGTGTGTAAAGACATAGGTTGCAAGAACCTTATAAGAAGAGAGCTGGCTACTAACAAGGACAAATTTCGTCCTAAGCTTTGCCAGTAGGATTTCAGAAAATGGCACTTACCTTGACAGGCTTTCCCAGCCTGACAGTGTGTCATGTGATTCAAAACATTTTTCATGGTTCGACAATGTGGGAGAGAGCAGGCCCGAACCTCTCCGTTTGCTTGTTCTCGTCTCTGACATTTATGAGCGTGAAGCAGTAGAACCAGCTGCTGCTGTATCAGTTTGCGTTTTTCAGGATCTGCAGTGGGGCCCGTTGCAATTGCTTGTGTGGGTACAATTCCCACTGATGTTTGCATCTGAGACTAAAATAAAACAAATTAATAAACATTTAATAAGCTTTTAGAGTTCCAACTCATGTTCATTAATTATTTTTCAAACTAATGTTAAAGTTGATGGATATTGGCCACAGATAAAGCAGCTGGTGTGGTTCTCTTTAATTCATCAAAGACTTTAAGGAAGATAAGGAAGCAAAGAAATAAACCAACTGAGAAACAAGGCTGATTAAAGTTCACTGTGTATGACTGTCTCAGAGCAAGAAAATGCTGCTTATTCTTAACTGTAGTAACCAAAACCCAACTCACTCTACAATATATACAAGAGCAGGAAAAGCTGTGTTACTATCTTAGGTTAAACCATATGAAACTGTTGTTTTTGTAGGCCAAAATAGCCAAACATTGGCAATTTCATATGGTTCAACTTAATTGAAAAATATCTGATGCAGCAGAAGAATCAGAGCCACCCTCTGGATTTCATTATCTTGTGACCAGAATGACAATACTTTCAGTATTCATTACCTGTCCTAAAAGAATAATATAAACTTATCCTTAATACGACATCTAGTACAATTGCTAATGCTTATGAAATTCTTTTCCTTCCATTAAAATTCCACTCAGACATCAGGACAATATTTTCAAAAAGTATTTGACAATCTGTTAAAGATATAGAAATAAGAGTTTAGTTGCTTTCATCCTTAAAAAATAACAAGCCAGACTGACTGTACCTCATAACTGCAAAGAAAATGGAAAAGGTGAGCTATGCAGTTTTCTTATTCTTAGGAACTACCACCATTCTTTAGACAACTCTAGTATTCTGACACTAACACTTCCAACTTGATTTTATAACACTCTCTGCCTCCCCTTAAAGTACACCATTACTCTGCCTTTTCAAATTAAGAATCTGAAATTGTTGCTCAATGAGATGAAAGGGTTGTATGAACTCTAAGTGGCCTGAAATCCATGTTAGAAGCATCCTTAGACTCTAAAAACTTCCCTGCTTAGTCCTCATTGCCCAGGTGGGGACCGGGAATAGACAAAAAGTGCTTAGACAAGAACTTCCCTTTAAAAACACAGAACCAGCCCTAACTGGTTTGGCTCAGTGGATAGAGCGTCGGCCTGCAGACTGAAGGTCCCAGGTTCGATTCCGGTCAAGGGCATGTACCTTGGTTGCAGGTACATCCCCAGCAGGGGGTGTGCAGGAGGCAGCTGATCGATGTTTCTCTCTCATCGATGTTTCTAACTCTATCCCTCTCCCTTCCTCTCTGTAAAAAATCAATAAAATATATTAAAAAAATAAAATAAAAACACAGAACCAAAACTGTGATGTTGTAAATACCCCCAAAAGTAGAGCATAAATTTTATGCAATTTTGTTTAAAAAATAAGAATAAAGGGACAAATCTCTCTTACCAGCTACCAAAACTACAAAACTACAGATTTCTTTATATATATCTAGAAAAAGAAACATGTTCATCAATTCCAGTGTCACCTGAAAATACAAAAGTAAATTCTAGATGAATTAGGGTGTGTAAAAATAGGTTAAAATAGATAAAATTATTAGAAAAAAATAAAGAATATTTTTAGAATGAGGGTAAAAAAACTTAAAAAGACATAAAATTAAGGTTTAAAAAGAGAAAAACTGTTACTTTTGAAAAGTGGAAACTGAGTCCAAAGTTAGGACCATTCTTTAAGCTCCTTATATACAGGGTGGAGCAAAAGCAGACTTACAGTTTTGAGTACACAAAACAGAGTTTCTTCTTCTTCTTTTTTTTTTTTTTTTAAACCCTCACCTGAGGATATGCTTTTATTCATTTTAGAGAGGAAGGGAGAGAGAGAGAAAAACAATGATGTGAGAGAGTGCAACATCAATTGGTTACCTCCTGTACACACCTGACAGGGGAGCAAAACTGCAATGTAGGTATGTGCCTTCACGAGGAACTGAATCCACAACCTTTTTTGGTGTATAAGACAATGGCTCCAACCAACTGAGCCACCTGGCCAGGGCAGTTTATTCTTATATTATTTTCCATACAAAGAACTGCAAACCTACTTTTGCCCCACCCTGTAAGTTATGTTGCCAAATTGTTTTCCAGAAAGGTGGCAGCATTTATTATATAAACTGTCCTCTATCTCAGTGCCAAGAAAACTTAATGGAGAGAATAGTTTTTTTCAGTTAATGGTGATGAAAAAAACAGGACAACTGGATATCCACATGTAAAAAAATGAAGATGAAATCCTTCTTCACATCAAACTCAAAAATTAATTCAAAATTAATAAAAGACCTAAATGTGAGAGCTAAAACTATAAAACGCTTAGAAAAAGATCATAAGAGTAAATCATATGACCCTGGAATAGGTAATGGATTCTCAGATATGTCACCAAAAGCCCAAACAACAAAAATAAATTAACCTTATTAAAATTAAAAATTGTGCCCTGGCCAGTGTGGCTCGTCCCATGTTGCTGGTTCTATTCCCAATCAGGGCATAAGACCGGGTTTCGAGCTTGATTCCAAGTTGGGGGCATGCAGGAAGCAGCCGATGGATGTGTTACTCTCACGTGGATGTTTTTTATTTTTTTCTCTCTCTCGCCCCCCTCTCCCTTCCTCTCTGTCTAAAAAAAATCAATTTAAAAACATTTAAAAATAATTAAAAATTGCTATGCTTTAAAGGACACTATGTAGAAAATGAAAGACAACCCAAAGAATGAGAGAAAATATTTGCAAATCATAGATGTAACAAGGAACTTATATCTAAAACATACAAAGAACTCATATAGCTCAATGATAAAAAGGCAAATAATCTAATTAAAAAATGGACAAAAGATGCGACTAGATACTCAACACCATTAGCCATTAAGAAAATGCAAATCAGAACCACAACGAGATACCACTTTGCACCCACCAGGATGGCTAGAATTAAAAGAAAGACAGTAACAAGTTTTGGTGAACACGTGAAAAAACTGAAACCCTCATCCACTACTGGAATGTCAAATTGAGCAGCCACTTTAGAAAACAGTCTGGTAGTTTCATCAAAAGGTTACACCTTGAGTTACCATATGACCCAGAAATTACCCTCCGAAGTATACACCTGAAGTAACTGAAAACATATGTTTACACAAAAACATGTACACAGGGTCAGAAAGAGATGTGACAACAAATGAATGCTTAGAGAGATGTGATGTTGCTGTCTTTGAAGATAGATGAAGGAAAAGAACTCTAAGCCAAGGAAAAATAAGAAGCCTCTGGAATCTGGAAAAGGATTCTCCCCTAGAGCCTGTGACGCCTTGATTTTAAGAGTATAGGACTTTGCCTAGCCAATGAAGCTCACTGGTTGAACTTATACCTATGAACCAAGAGGTCACAGTTTGATTCCTGGTCAGGGCACACGCCCAGGTTGCAGGCTCAATCTCCAGTAGGGGCATGCAGGAGGCAGCTGATCAATTATTCTCTCTCATCATTGATGTTTCTCTTTCTCCCTCTCCCTTCCTCTTGAAATTAATAAAAATATATTTTTAAAATAGAGTATAGGACTTTTAATTTACAGAACTGTAATATAATCAATATATGTTCTTTTAAACCACTAAAGTGGTAATTTGTTAAAGCAACAGTAGAAAACTTATACAGTATTTCTTATAAAGACTATGACTCCCAATTCTCTATACTCTTCCTGTGCTGAATTCTTCTTCATAGCCCCAAACATATCTGCCATTTTGCTACATATTTGCTATTATTTGATGTCTGTCCCCAGTAAGTTACAAAAGGCAGAGTTTGTCTGCTGTATCCACAGTACCTAGAGATATACCTGAAAAGGACACACAAAACAAACAAAAATGTGTACACAAATGTTTGTAGCAGCATTATTCATAATAGCCAAAAAAGCAGAAACTTCTCAAATGCCTGTTAATACATGATACAACACAAACTATGAAAACATTATGGTAACTCAGTGATTTTCAATTGTTGTGCCGCGGCAGGCACACTGATATGCCTCAAGAAATTTTTTAAAAAGTAACACCTAACTATTTATTCAGGAGCACGAACCTCTTTTCCCTTAAATTGTAAAACAAACAAACAAACAAACAAAACAAACAACAACAAAAACCCAGCCAACACAATAGTCATCCAGTGTGAACGAATCAAAATTATACCTATTTTTTTGTCAGATGGGCAAAAATGTATTTTTTGGTATGCCACAGAATTTTAGTAATTAGTTTATGTGTGCCATGAGATGAAAAGGGTTGAAAATCTTTGTGCTAAGTGAAAATAGCCAGCCACAAAAGAGTACAAATTATGTAATTCCATTTCTATAAAATGCTCAGAGTAGATAAATGCACAGGGGCAGGAAATAGATTAGTGGTTGCCTCTAGCTGAGGGATCAGGGGAAATGGGGAGTAACTGCTAATACTACAAGGTTTCTTTTTGGGGATGAAACTTTTCTAAAATTGACTGTGAAGATGATTTCCCAAAACCATTAAACTGTATACTTTAAAGGGGGGGAACGTTAATCTATAATAATAAAAGCATAATATGCTAATTAGACCAAACAGCTGAATGACCTTCCAGAGTCCTTTCCGGGCTACGAGGGTCAAGCCACTTGCACGAATTTCATGCATCGGGCCTCTAGTTGTATATAAATATATCTCAGAAAAGCTGCTTTAAAAAGTTCTATCCAACTTTTAATCATTAAAAAATTGAAACTAAAACAAAAGGCATTTTTTACCTATGAATATGATCAAGATAAAAATTCAATAATTGATATTGATGATAATATAGAGAAATAGTAATTCTCAGGCATTTTGGTGATAATGCAATTTAGTATGGCTTTGGAAAGCAAAATATATCAAAAAGAGAAATGTGCATTTCTTTTGATCCAGTAGTTCCACTTCCTATGATTTATTATTAGGGAAGCAACTATAAACTAGTACACTAAAATGTACGTGCAAAGACAGGCATCATGCCTTGATTAAATCACCAAGAATTGGAAAACTCCTAAATGCCTTTCAAAGGTATACTAATTAAACAAATTATGGC